TTCATTCTTCCAATAAATCTCTGCCCCATAAATTTACAGGTATGGCAGCTATGTAAGGACAAATACATCCCAATTGACCATCAGGCCCTTCATAAGGCAGGGGAATGGAGCTTTACAAAATTTGTTGGGGGACACCAAGGCCTACCAGAGATGTTTTAGTTGGTTTTTTCCCTCAAGATGATGGCCAAAAACATGTGCCAATCATGGACACGTCTGCACTCATGTCTATCAGCCCTGTAAAGAATTTGCCATTCAATTTAATTTTGTACATGGGGCAGTTTTTGGAAATCTCTTGGGTGAAATAAACCTCTCGCTGAGGATCCTCTCAGGGATTTTTAAAACTAACATTATTTAATTTTGGTTTAACCAAGAGCAACAATTGTGCAATATAATGTCCTTGTTCTATTACCCAAAGTCCTGTGGAACTAACAGGAATGTACAATTCGGAGTTACAATCAGAATCAGGGGGTGGGGGATCCATGAATTCCTGTGGGGACAGATATCGGAGTCTCACTTCCCAGCAGGTGAACTCTCTGAGCAGCAGGAAGATCTATTCCTGAGCTCCTGAGTGTTTCCCTGATGAGGGAAGAAATGTCCCTCCGGACAGCCATGCTGTCCGTCTGATTTTATACGTGTGCATGGGTCTGAACCGGGTACTGCTGACTCAGGGAGACTGTAGCCCCCTGGCCGTGATCTCCTATAGTTTCTGTCAAGAAGATGTGCGGAAGTGATTTATAAAGGAAATATATATGTTTACTTGTTGGTTTCAAGTCCTGGCAGCAATGTGCCATCCTTACCATATTTGGAGTGGCAGGCTTTAGCCCAGTGAATGCCTTTTCGACAGTGAGGGCAAGGGCCAGGTGGTAACTTATTTTCTTTGGATGCCTGACCTAGTGGCTCCAGGTCAGCTTGTAAAGCCACTTTCATTTTGCAGTTTTTTCTGAGAGGCCCCGATTTTCCACAATGAAAACATTTTAAAATCACTGTGTGTACCGCGTAAATGTCGGGAGATGGCTTGAGCCATCAAAGCCGAATTGTATAAGGAGACCCAATATTCTGGCATGCCTTAAAATATGCTCCAAGATCTTTAGAGGAGCAAACAGGATTTATTGCCTACTTGCAATCCATATTAGCATTTTCATAGGCTAGCTGTAAAATCAGGATGTCTGCTGCCTGGGAATTAGAAATCTGTCTCCTAATAGTCTGCTGTAATCTGGCTACAAATTCTGTGTAAGTTTCCAACGGCCCTTGCATGATTTGAGTAAAAGATTGCATCGGCACACCATCAACTGGCACAGAAGCCCAAGCCCTCTACGGCAGGTCCTCTAGCTGGTGAAAGAGTAACGCTGGGCAACAGGCTTGCCTGCTTAAATCCAAAAAGTCACCCATGCCAGATAACATATCAAAAGTAACTTCTCTGGATTGAGCATCTCCCTGAGCATTCTTATGAGCCTGCTCTCTGATTAATGAACACAGTTCCACCTCAAAGTGGAGATACTGAGTGGGAGACAGGCATGTTTTTGCAAGGTGAAAAACAGCATGCAGAACTAGTGAATAAGTCTGGAGTGCATTGTCCAACATTGTATAGGGGCTTTGGACGCCATTAGTTAGCATGCTCTGCCTGAGGTCCTTTAGGGTGTCAAAATCAAATGAGGCATGAACATACATATCCACCTCTGAGTTTTCAGGATCAGGCAAAACTGAGATAGGGAAGCACAAAGGGTCTCCAACCGCCTTGTTCTGTGTCACAGTTTTTTGCAGGGTATGGCAATAGGGAGTGGCCCCAGAGGTGGGCTTCACAAGAGGGGCAGCTAGACCTTTGCAAGATACTTGAGGAGGCTGAGGGGCTAGAGAATTAGGGTCCTCCTCAGCATGCTTAGGTGGTGGTGGTGGTGGAGCAGAAGCCACAGTGAGATGAAAGCAAAGTGGGTAAGGAGCTGAACAAGGGGAAACCTGGACAGAAGGGCAGATGGGGGGAGGGGTGGCCCAGGTCTCCCAAATTGACTGAGAGAATTTGAGAGCAGAGTGGACTAAGGCCCAAGTGGGGAGTGTTAGGGGGCAGGGGGGAGATGATCACCCCTTCGCCGGTTCTCATGGAAAAGGGTACCTACATATTCCCATGCTATTAAGTTAGTTGTCCCTTCCTGGGGAAAAGATGGGATGTACATTTGTATGTCTTTTAACAAATCTATCACAGCATCCTTCGGTACCAGATACATAGCTTGCTTCAACAGCGACTTAAGTAATTTGGCAAAGTTACACTGTTCAGATTGACAGAGACTGACCCATACTTCTAACTAAGCAAAGATAGAAAATTACCCCCAGCTGGACACACTTACCCCCAGTGTCCCTCATCGAAATCTGGAAATCATCCTGGGAGATCCGTGTGCTGTCTCTTTTACTCTGAGTTTGTCTCACTCACAGGCGAATTCACCCCTGGATCCGACTGACATCCAAGTTGGGTGCCAAATGTAGGGAACAGGGAAAGAGGTTACTAGAACCTCTGCAGTAAGTCCTAGTCTCCTGCGACCCATGGCAGCACAAGGCGAATTAATTTATTATACAGGAAAGGTAGAAAAAGGAGACTTTGAGAAGCAGAGCTTTGGGTCTGATCAGTGCTGCTCTGGGCAGCAAAGATGAAACAAATGTAACAAATGACTTGTAGAGAGTTCAGTACATCCGGGATAAACAAAGTGTAACAATGAGGAACTGAATAGATGAAGATTTTGTTCCTCTGCGGATGTCTTTAGCTGGTGTAATCTTGTCCTGGAGCATCACAGCATCACCGGATCATTGAGGTCTCAGTTGTGACCGGGGTCCAAAATGGAATTATGTCTCAAAATGCCATAGCTGGCCTGTAGGCAGGAGAATTAGGCCTAATCAAATGATTTTCCCCTAAAATTATGTAGCATTGCTCCTGACAGGGCACAGCTGGGACATACTGTAGGGGCAGGGACCTAGTAGACACACACCTGCCCCCAGGAGGGTGGTGGGAGCTGCCCCAGCTCTGTAATCCCTTCTGCAGCCATCAATGCCACCCCCTCCTAGACCCACCATGAGTGCTGTGTCGGGTGCTGCCAGCTCTCCAAGGTGGTGCTGTTGCATAAGCGAGCCTTCTGCTGTCTGCAGCGCTCCCTCCCCCGCACACACCTGCACACCTCCTGAGCCAGCCTGCCCACAGCAAGTCTTCGCTCCTCCCACTGTCAGCCACAGGAATGTGTGGTCAGGGCCCCACCAAACCAGTGCCGCCTGCACATGCCCCAATCCTTGCACCCGGTCCTTCCCAGTGCTGATTATTCTGCCAGACACCCCTCTTCACCCCGCCTTCTGTCTGGGGGCCCGTGCCCAGATGAGGTGCAAAGAGCTTATTGCACTGTCCCCCTCCTCAGCAGACATCCTTCCCTGTCCCAGATCTGGCGAGAGGCTGTTGGATGGTGAGGGATAGTGGAGCAGCCCCTCTCCTCTCACCCAGGGCTCTCTTCCTTCATGTGCATGACACCCAGTGGAGCCCCGTCAGACAGTGCCCAAGGGTCTGCGGACAGAGGGCCATGGGGAAGAGTGACCTACCATGTTAGCAGTGCCATTGTTTCTACAGAAAGGTGAGGGCGTTGTCCCCACCCTGGCTGTAAGACCCTAACAGGAAATGAGACAATTTAGCTAAAAGCCCTGGAGTCACTCCTTCCCCGGGCCCAGAGGTGATGTGGTGGCAGAAGTGTCTTGGGCGAGACCCCAGCAGCTTCTGCCCTCCCTGCCCTCAGGGAACCCCAGGACTGTTCTCCATGCTTTGCAGCCACCCCAGCCTTTCCAGACCCATCTTTCACAGCCCAGTCTCCCACCTCAGGCCCTTCTGTCTTCTGCCTACATCACAACACACTCAACAAAACCGCGTGGCCAAGCCTGAATCCCCCATGTCTCTTCCTTTGACCAGTCTGCTTTTTCCTGGAGCAGAACCCTTACTGCATTGACTGACTTTGCTTCAAATTCAGGACCACAAATCTCTCAACTTTCCCAGCACTCTCTTCTTCCTCTCCAGCCCTGTATTCCTCTCTCCTTCCCTCCCTTTGACTTTCCTGATCCCTCAAAGAGACAGACGCCACCGAAGGCCCTGACCTCCACATGCACCTGCATGGAATCCAAGGACAAGTCCTCCCCTGGGCCCTGCAGTCCAGTCCCAGCCATTTAGCCCAGGTCCCACTCTACCGGCAAATCCTCCTGGTCAGTCCCTGACTCCCACTCTCTCCATAACCTCCAGGAGGCACCACAGCCATCCAGGGTGCTGGTGGCCCCCAAGGCCAGGCCCAGTTCTGCCTTCCTCTTGGTGGTTTCTCAGCGGGAAGTGATTCAGCAGAGCACTCCCTTCCCTCTGACACTAAGGCTCTGCTCTGCCCGGGAGACCACCCTATCTCAGCCTCTCCTCCCAGCTCTAACTCAGCAGTCCTCACAAGGTACACGGGATGGCATCTGGAGATGCTTCTGCCTGTCATAGCACAGTGCAGGGAGATTTCGACTGGCATCAGGTAGGTAGAGCCCAAAGGTGCTGCCAAACATGCAATGTATAGGACAGTCTCACAACAAAGGGCCATCAGGTACACGCTGTCCTAAGTGGCACAGGGTCCCCTCGGGTCCTGGGGTCCCTGCTCCCCTGTATCTAAACTCTGGGGGAGTTCCCTGAAATCCCACAGCTCTTCTAGGGGCCACACCAGTGTGCTTCCACTGTTCTGCACTGTCCCGTCCTGACCCACCCATAAGCATGTCTCTATGTCCCCCAATACAGACCCTGAATGTGATTCCTGCAGGAGCTGGCAAAGGCCACGCTGTCACTGGAACTTCAGGACCAATCTCGGCCCCAGGCCCCACTCCCTAGCTGTACCACCTCAAGCAGATCCACGTGCTTCCTGAAGCCTGTCTCCCCCTCTGGAAAAGAGGATGTAACCCCCAGGGGCCACCCTCAGAGCTCGCCTTTGAGAGTCAGCACACCACAACACAGCATGCACCCAATTTTATTTCTGCTTGCCCCTAACAGCTGAGGCCCTGGCTCCCCTCCCACCCCTCGATCTGCAGGTCCCCAGCATGGTAGCCCTGAGGGTTGGGGGCCACCCAGAGAGTCTCTTTGCTCCTGGGACCTCATAGGGACAGCCAGGGGTTTGGGAAGGGGAGGTGTGGGGCTTGGCTAAAGGAGGACAAGTGGGGTGACCCCTGTCATGTCCCCTCAGGGCAGGGCTCCTGGAGACAGTGAGCAGAGGTCGAGATGAACTTTTAGTCCTCTACTCAGGTTGTTGTGTTCTTGCCATTCTCTTCAGCCTCAAGGGATGGGGCAAAAACAAGAACAAGTATAGCCAGGCCTGCCTTCTACGACAGACCTAGAGGCCCCTCTGTCCCTAGGAGCCCTTGGGGAAGGGACACAGGGAACAGTCCAGGCCTCTAAGAGAGGGGCTAAAAGGTTGGGACAGGGGTGCTATATGCTTTTAGTTGAAGAATACAAATTGAAATAAATGTGAGCAGCAGAAAAGCTGAGACAGCATCAGTTTTTTGCTACTATTGTATCCCTAGTCTCTAGAACAATGTCTGACACAGGGACTGAACAAATGTATTGAATAAATAAAGCAACATCAAAAAGTAAAACACAACAACAAAAAAAGACATGTAATGTAAGACTACTATGTAGTCTCCTCAAATCTTGCTGCTTTTGCAGTTTTATATATACCCAATTTCACCACTTTGTCTTTGACAGTATTGTTCTTGTATGAGAATCTTATTTGTCAACCCATACTCTCTTCTCCTAATATCAAAAAAAGACATCAATTTTATGAAATCTTTTATCAACCTAACAGTTTTATAGAGGAAATACTTGGCTTTCAAAAAAGACAGGGGTGCCGCCCAGAGGGGCCAAGGGCTGGCCAACCCTGCTCCTCTAGGCAGAACAGACTCTGTCTTTGGGGAGAAGCCACCAACTCAAGCTTCAGGCTTCCCTCCCAAGTGACTTCCAGGTTCCCAGCCTCCGGGTAGAGCTGGGCTCTCCACAGCAGCCTGGACAGGTGCCAGCTGTTCTCCAGCTTCTGGAAATGGGGCTGGAGGGTCCGTGGGCACTTGGGCCAGCCAGGACAGCTCCAGAGCCATGCCTGGGGCCCCTGCTTCGGGCCTTGACCTTGGGGAAGAAGCCAGGGTCTGAGGCAGCCTTCCCAAGGCCTGCATGCTGAACTTTCTCCTGCCAGGGGGCTCCCACCCATTCAGGTTCTCTCTGGGTCCTGCAGCAATGTGCCAGCCACCAGCCCCAGGGCCACTGGGGTCACAGCTCCTGGAATCTCCAGGCAGTGCTTCCAGGAGTCTCTGCAGGTAGGGTCTAGAGGCAGGCGTGGGGCTCCTGCCATTGCCAAGGGCCTGGAACCCTGGAGCAGGAGACAGGAGTCAGGTTCCAGAATCACAGGAGGAAGCCGTGGTCTCTGCCAAGAGCCCAAGCTGGCTTCAGCTTACTCCAGAGGACTCCGAACCCAGCTCACAGGCCACCAGGTAAACCACCAGTCCCTGCTGAGCCACTGCTTAATACCATTTAGACCCAAACTCCTACATCTCTGCCAGGAACAAGACAGCAGAGCCCCAGGTCACCATCCAAAGATTCCCACAGCTTCTCTGACCTCCCCTTCTGGCCCTAGACTGCCCTGACATCAGCCCAGATCTGAAGCCCTCACCCACAGGACCCTTCCTCAGACTGCTCCAGCACAGTGACACCCTAGCCCCGCCCATATCCGAACGTTGTCTAGAAACTTCCTGTGGCCCATTCCCTCCAGACCCTGAGCCCTCCGGTGGACCCATCTGCAGCGCCTCCCTCACGCCCAGGCCGCTCCTCCTGCCTCGGCCTCCACAGCTCTCCTTGAGGTCCTCCCTCTGTCCTGCCCAGCACACGCCTCCCTCCAGCCCCACACCTCTGCCTGTTTCATCTCTCTAGGCAACGCTTCAGTTGCCTTCTCCTTCACGGCCCTCCCCTCCTCGAACCTCGAACCTCTGGCCTCCACCCTCACTCACTGAGGGACTGAGGCAGCTATCTCTAGATCCATGTGCAGACTCAGTCTGCTCCTGACCCTTCCTGTAAGGTCCCAGGAACTCAGGCCCGCCCTGGGCAGCCCTTCCCAAACATTCCCAGTCATGTCCCCTGTTTCCCATAGCCACCCCTTCTCTTCCCCAGATGGTCATCATTTCAACACCTAAACACACTGACATGTTTCCTATCTCCACAGAACCTTCCCTTGACCAGTCCCTCCTGGCCACCCCCCAACTTCCTGCTCCTTATGACAGCCATACCTCTAGAATCTCCTTTAATTAAAAAAAATATGATGTTTCATACAGTAAGATATGTGGATACAGGGCAAAACATCTTTAAGAAAGCTGGGTGTGGTGGCGCATGCCTGTAATTCCAGCATTTAGGAGGCTGAGGCAGGAAGATCACTAAGAGTTCAAGGCCAGCCTGGGCTACACAGTGAGTCAAGGCCAGCCTGATTTTTTTTTTTTTTCCAGTACCGGGGATTAAATTCTGGACCTTGTGCTTTCGAGGCAGGTGCAGTGCCACTGAGCTAAATCCCCAGCCAAGGCCGGCCTGAACTATGCAGTAAGATCCTGTCTCAAAAAATAAAAAAATCTTTAGGAAATTAATCTGGGACAACTAGACAGCTACATGCAAAAAATAAAAGATTCCCTCCTCATACCATACATACTATACCCAAGTTAACTACAGATGGATCACAGACCTAGAAGTAAGACCTAACATAAAAAAATACAGACATAAATCTTTATAGCCTTGGGTTAGACAATATCTTCTTAAGACATGTACCAAGAGTACAGTGATAAAAGAAAAAGTTTGATACCTCTTCTTGGTATTTTCCCCCAAAAAAGCATCATACCACAGCGATATATGCACACCCATGTTAATAACAGCACAGCATATACTAGCTATATCTTAGAAACAGCCCCCAAATCCCCATCAACTGACAAGTGGATAAAGAGGATGTGGATTTTTTTATATAATGAAGTACTGCTCTGCCATAAAGAAGGATGAGCTTCAGACATTTATAACTAAATGGATGGACCTTGAGACCATTCTCCTAAGCGAATTAAGTTGAACACACATGTTTAAATACTGCATTGTTGCGCAAGAGCAATGACCCGAGTTCGATCCCTGCTACAAAATAATAATAATAAATAAATAAATACTGCATTGTTTCTCTAGTGTGAGAAACCAAAAGTGGAAATAAAGGACTGAAATGTATAATGGATGTTGGGAAATGGAAAGAAAGTGTTCAAATGGGAAGGGGAACAGGGAGGAGGGAGGGAGAAAGGAAGGAAGGAAGGGACAAGGAAAAAAGTGAAAATAGAAGGAGAAATGGAAACAAAGCTTTTGTACACAGGGAGGAGAGAGGGTTTGAGGGAGGGAAATGGGGTAAAATAAAATAAAATTCATTTAAAAAAGAAAAAGTTTGAACTTCAGAATTAAATGTTCAATAAACACCATCTTGAAAGTGAAAAAAAACACCCATAGAACATGAAAATATTTCCAAATGATAATAATGGATAAGGAGTATGTAAATAATTCTTACAACTCAGCAAGGAAAAGACAACCCAACTGAAAAACAGGCAAAGGGTCTGTAGATATCCTTCTCCAGAGAAGACACACAAGTGGCCAATTAGCACATTCACCGTCATTAATCATTAGAGAAACACAAATCAAATGACAATGAGATATTTTTTCACCCATGAGGATGGTGATACTCAAAAGGACAGATTAAAAGTGTGGGCAAGGGTGTGAAGAAAGTAGTACTCTCCTGCTTGCTGGTGGGAAGGAAAACACTACTTTGGAAGAGTTTAGCAATTGAGTAGCAATTGAAGATGGAGTTACCATAAGACCCAGCAGTTCTGCTCCCAGGTATATACTGAAAAGAAACATGTTGACACAGAATCTTGTATGTTCACAGTAGTACTATTCATAATAGCCAAAAGGTAGAAACCACCCAAATTTTCATCAACTGATGAAAGCCACATATGGACAGGGGAAGAGGAGTAGGGGGGTTTGGGGGGCGGGGGGTGAGACAGAGTCTTGCTATATAGCAAGGCTGAACTACATGAGTCCCTGTCTCACAAAACAAAACAAAACACCTTAAATACATATGAATCATAGTCAAGTTTTAAAAGTTAAAATCTCTCCAAATTGAGCTAGATATTTCAATAAATCCCCACTCAAAATCTCAATAAGTCTTGATAATGTTGATTGGGGGGTGAAATTCTAAAATTTATATGAAAATCCAATCACGAACAAGTACAGGGACTTATCCCAGCACATGTTGTCACAGTTTATAAAATGTCTTTATGTAAATGTAAGATATATAGAATATATAAATGTATGTGTGTCTCGAGCATCTAGGGTTTGTAAAGTATCTATAGAGATGGACAGCACTATTCAAGGATAGACCTTTGCTCCTGGGAACAGGACGGAGAGTTCTGAAGTGGGCCTAAAAGTGGATCCCTTTTCACATATGCAATGTTAAATTTTCTCATACCCTTTTCCACACTGATCAGGCTGTGTGTCCAGTGCCCTGTCACCCCCACTTCCTCTCCCTGGCCCTCCCCACCACTCACCGCTCCCGTGGGGGTTGGGACCGCTTGGGCTGCAGTCATAGAGCCTGCAGACCCGGGCAATGTCCGAGGTGCTCAAGTTCCACCGCTGGCCGATGTGGACACTGGAGGCCCAGAGCGGGATGATGGTAGGCTCCCCACGCCGGCTGAAGGCGAGCCTGGAAGCCAGGTGGCTGTGTCAGCCTTGGGGTGTCGGGGAAGGGAGGAAGGAAGGAAGGAAGGAAGGAGCTAGCTCACCTCCCGTAGTGCATCACTGATGAGTAGTCATAGGGTGCCAGCATATTACTGCTCCGGGATTTGACAAAGTTGATTTCAAAGCCTTTAAAAAAATAAATAAACAGCTTGGAAATGTATGGAGAGCAGGTGGATGGGCAAGGGAAGCAGGGGAGACTTCTGGGAGTTTATAACCCACCTCAGCTGAGAAGTCTGAGACTACAGCCAAGTGTGTGCCTTGCACACTTGTCCTTGGCCCTTGCCCTCCTCAAGCTCTGTACCAAGTGAGGCAGAAGCACAGGGACCTTGCAGCCAGCCACCCATCCCTCCTACTGCCTCTCCTTCCTCCTCTCGAGTCCACCTGGCATGGGGAGGACTGACCTTCCAGACCCACAGCATTGGTGAAGCCATGGGCTACCAGGGTGGCTTGGTCACCTCATGCCCTGACTACCCCTCCACCCAGCTTTACAGATCTGCTTCCCCCCGTCTGGGTCATGATGCCTCACTCCCAGCACCTGGTCATCCTGCTTCAGACCGCAAACCCCCCACCATCTTGTTGCTGTCGCTTTGGCTGACCAACATCCCTCCATCATGGGATCCTCCAGGCCTAGGAGGGGCTGGGTTCCCTGCTGCCCTGCTGAGTGGGCTCCTGAAAGGGTAGCTGTGCCCTTCCTCCTTCCCCCGCTCCAGACCCTGCAGCAGCAACCTCCACACTAACTCCACCACCAGGTCACCAGCAGCCACCTTATCACTGAGTAGAGCAGCATTCCAGTACTTCTACCACCTCCCTGAAAGAGCACACCCTAGAGTTTTTTGTTTTTCCAGTACTGGGGGTTAAACCCAGGGAATGCTGAGCTACATCCCCAGCCCTTCCTATTTTTTTTATTTATTTATTTTTGCTTAAATTCTTTTATTGGTACATTTTAGGTACACAATACGTTTACATTTGTCATTGGGTGCTTATACCTGTACATGATGTATCTTGGTTATTTTTTCCCCATTACCTGTGCACCCTTCACCCCCTCCATCCTTCCCTACTTACAAAGACTTTGTTTCCATTTTTTTCTTTTCTCATAATATTTCCTTTCCCCCTCCCCTCCCACTTCCCCTACCCGTTTGGACCTTTTCTTCCTATTTCAAATTATCAATTATTCATTTTAATCATTTTTATCCTTATTTACACTTTCAGTTTCTCACGCTATAGAAACTATTCGGTATTTACACATGTGTGTCCTATTTATTTCACTTACGAGTATGTCCTCAATATGCATCCATGTAGTTATAAATGTCTCTAGTTTCTCATTCTTTATGGCTGTTTATTTTATTTATTTTTAGTTTTTTGGAACCGGGGATTGAGCTCCAGACCTTGCACTTGCGAAGCAGGCACTGGAACCCCTGAGCTAAATCCCCAGCCCCCTTCCTATTTTATTTTGAGACAGGGTCTCCAAAAGTTGCTCAGGCTGGCCTCAAACCTGTGATCCTCCTGCTTCAACCTACTGAGTAGCTGGGAGTGCAGGTTTATGCCACTATGCCCAGCCCCCTTTATTTTTAAACATACTTTTCTTTGGTACCGGGGATTGAACTCTAGACGTTGTGCTCTCAAGGCAGGAGGCAGAACCACTGAGCTAAATCCCCAGCCCCTTAAACATACTTTTTAATAGGGAATACATGCATCAGAATCAAAAGTGTATTATTAAAAGATTCATAGTAAAAGCCTCCTACTTCATCCCCTCTTCCTGAGTTCTCCCTCCCCACTGTGGCAGTTAATTACTTCATTCTGTACACATTCACTAAAAGGCAAACATATTCTCACTTTTCTGTATGAGGAGAAACTACATTTCCCCCACTAAGGTAACTGGTGGGTTTTGTTTGGTTTTTGGTGCTTCTGGGGATGGCACCCAGGCCATCATGGATGCCAGGCAAGCGCTGTACCTACTGCTGAGCTGTGCCCCCAGCCTGGTGTGGCATTTCAGCTGACTGTGTTGTTAGGAGAACCACTCTCACATTAATTAATGCTGCTTTCCCAACCCCTTATTTATGCTTTTACCTTTAATTCCCTCCCACTTTCATTTATTGTTCTTAACTTAAATTGGCATCTTTAATTCATTTGTCTTCTCTATTTTTATGGCTACAACTAGCTACATCTACACATTTTCCCTGAGCATTGCCTTAGCTGGGAAGCAGTGGTTTTAATGTAGCATTTCATGATTTTCATTTTTTAAGAATCCCTGCAATTTCTTTAACTTCAGAGTTTAAAGGGGCGGGGCTTGTTTTTCCTTTTAACTTCTAAGTGAAAGCAGTTGGGGTTTTGTTACTAGATTCTACTTTGCCTGCATTCAGAACATCTGTGTTAACTTTGCTTGTCCAAATGGGGAGTTTTTTATGCTGTCACAAGGCAAATGCTCACAAGTGTTCCAGGAGCCCTTGAGAGAATTGGTATCCCGTCATCCCCATGCACACTTCCCCAGCTGGGTCTGATTCAGTCCTGAGCTCTGGGGAATCCTTGCACACTGCTCTCCCTTGGGAGTCACCTGCCAGCAGCAGCTGCTTGCAGAAAGCCCCCGACTCCTCCATGCCCTAACCCTGCCGTGCCTCCTCTGCACCCTTCTGCCTCAGGCTGCTGTCTTCTCCTTACTCCAGGACCAGGCCATCGAGCACGCAAGGGCAGGGATCTGACCCCTCACAGCTGCTGCTCACTGGCATCCAAGCAGGGCTACCCCTCCTGCCAGCCTCCCAGGCTGCACTGGCCCCACATGCTCATCAATCCCTGTCTCCTATCCAGCCCTGCAGAGCTGCCCTCCATACCTGGCATAGGCAGCCTGCTACTTCCTGGGCTTCTGCTCTGGAGTAGTGTCCCTGGCTGGTGTGAAGCCCATGCCTTCACCCACCCAGTAGAGAATCCAGCATAACAGCAGGTTGAGTACATAGGGAGCAAGGGGCACCCCTACCCCGTCCCAGGCCCCTCTGGCTTACCTGGCAGGATCTCGTGCCAGTTGACACGGATGTACCGGTCCCGGTCAGCCCGTGCATGCTCATGCCAGAAGCCCAGCACATGCATGAGCTCGTGCAGGACGATGCCCCGGCCCCTGTGAAGACAGGCGGGTGCCAGGGACACCACCTGCATCCCTCCACTGCGGCCCACACCAGAGAAGCACCTGCAGACACAAGAGCGAGCTGACTGGGTGCCACACGGGCAATGCATGGAGCAGAGTGGGTCCAGTCCCTTCTTGCCAGGTCCTGGGATGGACAAGCACCGGATAGGCAGTCCCCATCTGAACTCTAGCCCCAGGTTTCCAGTACTTTCCCAAGTCCCTTGACAGCCTGGCCTTGGGGAAATGGGCAAATGAAGCCTCATTGCTGGCCTGGGCTACCAAGAAGAGGTGGAAGTGACATTCACAGGAACAACAGACACAGCTGAGTAGACCCACGTCAGAACCCCAGGTCACAGCCCTCACACCTGTCATCTCAGGTACCTGCCAAACTAGGTATGCCACTCCCCACCTCAGAGAAGGGGCTCAGAACTCAGGGCTCTCCCTGGACTCAAGTGACCTGCCCAGAGTCTCCCACAAAGCCTCTGGGAGATGCGAGACTTGCAGGCAAGGGTCCCCACCTGGGGCACAAGGACACTCACACCAGGCACACCCTTTGGAGTCGGTGGGGAGCAGGAATCCAGGTCAGCTCAGAAACAGGGTTTAGACCACAGCTCAGTGCATTCCAGGCCACACACAGACACAGGCTCTGTCTCTCCAACACGCCCCTGGGACACTTACCCGGCCATGGGGATGATAGAGATGAAGTCTCTCTGGCCCTGGTAGGCAACAAACCGGATGCACGTGAAACGTTCAAACTCAGCAAATGCCTCCAGGATGACCCGGCGGCTGGGCTCATCTGCGGACAACACACCCTGGGCTGAGTCCCTGCCACGGACAGGACCCAAGCCCCCTTTAGGCCAGAGGTCCCTACATTTTTTGGTACAAAAAATTTTGGGGGGTTTTGTGGAAGACAATTTTTCCATAGATTTTCAGGGGTGGGGAGAGGTACCAGGTGATTCAAAGGAGTCTCAACCCAGATCCTTTGCACACAAAATTCACAGGGTTTGCCATGGCCCTGGGGGAATCTAATGTGACCACGCATCTTGAGGGGACAGACAACCCCCATATGTCCCCCTAGTGCAGTCAGCTTTTCCCAGTCTCCCTGGAAGTGCTCTGTGGGTGGGGAAAAGGGATGTGGCCACATAGGAAAAGGGAAGAGAAGATCCCAGGCAAGAAGAGGCTTCAGTGTAGAGAGGCCCATGCCACGCTCACTCACCATATTTGCTGGAGAGCAGGAAGGGGATCTCCACGATGCCACTAGCACTCTTGGGCCACTTATTGTTGGTCACCGACAACAGCCGGAAGGGACTCTGAGGAGAGAGGGCAGCTCAGGGATCTCTGGGGACACAGACCACCAAAGCTTCATGCCCCCAAGGGCACCACACCCTAGGCCACTAGAACATGAGAGGTGGGATGGGGGTGAATGGGCCAGGGGGTGAAGTGCAAGAAGTTAAGGGGATGAGGAAAAGCAGCATGGGCACCAAGGTAGGGTGGGTGCTGGGGATGGTGATGTCCAAGACACCAGCCTTGTCGAAGATGACAGACGTGCAGGTAAACACAAGATTGGTGGCTGAGGTGGGCCAGAGGTCCCAGCCCCCTAAGGTGTCCTGGCTTGGAGCTCCAAGCTCCAGTCTGCATCCCCATGCTAGTATGTGGGCAAAGCAGCACCACCCTGAAGAGGGAAAGCTGGGGTCCCACCAGGGTGACACCCTTTCCCCATCCCTCCCCCACCAGAACTCTTTCCTGCTCACACTGCCTTGCCCCACCAGCTGCCCAAGTCAGGACTTGATTCTACCCTGCCTGGGTTACAGGATCTCAGGGTCCCTCTTCCCCACGCTCACTGCCGTAACCCAGGACACAGCCTGCCCTGCCCCAGGCTCTGAGCAACCTGCCAGCCTCAGCTTCCCATCTCACCTCTAGGGGGCACCTCACACCAGCAGGACCTTCTGCCCGCCCCCTCTCCCCTTCTCCCCCTCTCCCTCTCTACAGCATCTCACTATGTGGTTTGAACTGGCCCTGAACTCAGAGATCCTCCTTCCTTAGCCTCCCAAGTTCTGGGATGACAGGGTGCACCACCACACCTGACAGTACTGCTCCTTTCCACCACGAGCCACTCCTGTCACCACAGCCTCTTCCCTATGGCCTTCATCCCCCACCAAGGTAGTCTCTCCACATTCCCCCTCACACTCTGCTTCCCCCAGGCATCAAGACCACCCAGGCTCTCACCTCCCACCCCCAGGCCACTCTGCAGCCTGTGTTCATGTCTTTCTCTCTCTGTTCCTTAGCATCTGCCCTGGCAGTGTCCCCAGCAGGGTCATGAGGGCTCTGACCTCCTCCAGGAAGCTCTCCTTGGCTGAAAATTGTGCCACCTCAGCACCCACCCTACCTTGGTGCCCATGCTGCTTTTCCTCATAAAACAGCCACCCTGACCTTGACAGCAAGAGGTGTCTGCTGTGACAGACAAGTCCTTCCATGTCAAACCACACGGCCAAGCTCAGAGGGCCCTGGAGTGTGCACTCACTGGCCGGATGATGTCCCCTTCCACCAGGAAGCTGCCATCTGGAGTCTCCTCCGGGATGAGCCCTGGGAGAAGAACACGAGGAGGTTTGTGGGCCTATGGCCCCCATGGCACTGACTGAAGGGGCAGGCCCAGCAGGGCTTCATTCAGCTGCCAGGTCCCAAAGCCCTGAGGTCTGTGCATCCCTCGACTTGGAGAGAGGGCTTCCAAGCTGAGTTCTGAGGCTGGGTGGCCTTGGGCAAATTGCAAAGCCCCTCTGAGTCCCAGCCCATGATCATGTCCTTCTAGTCAGACATGGTCCATGGTTCCCTCAGGCTCCTATCCCCACTGGAGTCATCCATGGTTAGGAAGTGGCTTCTTCCAGCTGGGTCCTCCAGCCCCACTCCACACTGCACTCCCCAGAGCCTATCCTGGGCTCCCTACCTCATCCCCATGAGCGCCCTACTCATTCCGTCACAACCAGAACCCTCAAGTTGCCAAGGAACAGAACCTCAACCACACTGCCACAGGAGGCCACACAGCTGGCTCCTGCATGCCCTGCCCGGCCCAGCTTGTCCAGCTTCTCAACCCCTCCTACAAGTGACTTCTGAAGGAGAGGCACCAGGGAAGGACACAGCCCTGTCCCACCTCAAGGGAGTGGCCAGGCTTGTATCCCTCTAGCCACTGTGGGCCACTCCAACAGGAAGGCATGGCCTCCCAAAGGCCTCTCCTGGGATCCAGCCCAGCTGGGAGCCATTGACAGCCATCACACACAGCAGCTGGGGGCACCCAGCTTCTCAGGCAGGGCCACATCAGGGACCCCTGGAGAACACTGGGGTCACTAGCATGGAGCGTCCCCATAGCATCTGAAAGTCAGGGCCATGGGAGGCATCAAGGTTCTGGCTCCCTCCAGACCTTCCACAATGACCAGAGAGGGGAATGGTGTCCCCCAAAGGCTCAGCAATTGTGGGGGCTCCATGCCAGCACAGAGAAAGAAGGGGACAGGTCACAGGATGACCGTCACATCCACTAGATCCCATCTGCATGCACTTAGACCCCATCAGAGGGTGAGATTACCCCACTCTCCCAACGCTTCGTGCTGACTGTGTCCTCGTTCTTAGCTGAGAACCCAGAGTGGGAAGCCCTGAGCCGCAGGTCTGCTTACACCTGCAGACTGTCCCTGCCAGGGTAACTGACACCTTCTCAAACATCTGCTAAGGACTTAGTGCAACTTCCAGGCTCAGAGAGCCCAAGGTCTTATACTCTTGTAGAGCCATTTTAAAACCTGTAGTCTTAGCTGGGTGTGGTGGTGCATGTCTGTAATCCAGCACTCTGGGAGGCTGAGGCAGGAGGATCACAAGTTCAAACCTAGCCTGGCAATTTAGTGATTTAGCAACACTGTCTCAAAATAAAAAGAGCTGAGCAAGTAGCTCACTGAGAAGGCTCTGGGTTCAATCACCAGAAAACCTCCCCCTCCAAAAATGACAACAGTCCACCTGAAAAGTTGCAGAAAAAGATTTAAGCATTGGCCAGTAGGATTCCTCCTGCTTAGAGTCAGCTGAGCGAGCTGGTACGTTTATTTCCTCCCAGCTTTTCCTGCACATCAAATGCTAGTGTGGTTTTCACATCCCTAGGACAGTGTCATACCCCTCCAGAAGGAGCAGTGTCCTCACCTTGGTTAATTGCAGGGATGTCTTTGTCCCAGGACACCTGGGTCCCCTCAGAGTTGAGGTCTTCTGAGAAGCTGGCGCTGCAGACTCCTGCACACCGGGATGCTGAGGGTGCTCCGAGGATCACACCTGACCAAACACACAGTGCGGACACATGGGTGCCCTGAGGGTCCCGGTGGAAACAGCACAGCAGGACCTGGGGTGGCTGAAGCCCCAGCCCTTCACTAGCAATTGCCCCACCTGAGCTCTTGAGGCCTTTCTGGTCCCAGCTCGGCTCAACAGGAGCCAAGGGCCAGAGAACTTCAAGGAAGGGGGGCCCTTCAAGGGACTAACCCTAGGCTCTAAAACTCATGTTCGAGCCAGGCTGGTAGTGTAGACCTATAATTCCAGTACTCTGGGAGGCTGAGGTGGGAGGATGGCAAGTTTGGGCAATTTAGCAACTTAGGGAAACCCCATCTCAATAGAAAAATTTAAAAGGGACCTGAGGCTGTAACGAAGTATAAAGGCCCTGGGTTCAATCCCCACTGCCACCAAAAAAAATTTTTAAGGCATGTGCTGTGAATTGGGGGGAGGGGGGTCAAGAGATCTTGGGGTCTAAGCCCGATGGCAGCACCGGGCCAGCCTCAGACCCTGATCCTTGGCTGCCTTTCTCAACCCAGGCTTTTGGGAAATGAGCTCAGCCTGGGGGACTTGACTTTGGCCCCAGCCAGGCTGGTGTGGAAACCCCCACCCCAATACAGGGGAGTCTGGGGCACACCTGCTCCCTGATGCCCCCAGGGTTTCTGAGGGCCCCCTCCCCAAGCCAGAGGTCCTTCTAGGAACAACCCAGAGAGCATGGAAGCTCACAGAAGCTCCCTGCGGCCCCTGCTCCCCTTCCTGGCCTCTCTCTGCACCTTAGAGGCTGGAGCAAGTGCTGTCAGGGCGAGTCAGCTGCTTACCTGGCAAGGAGAGCAGACCCAGCACCCAAGACCACAGGCCTCCCATGCTCCCCATGGCCGGTCCCCACGACCCCTCGGCAAGCAAGACTGGTCTCCAGCAGGACAAGGTGGTCAGATCCCAGACTTAGCACCACCCCCCCTTAAATAGCAGCTTCTCCAGCACCCACCTGCAGCCCCCAACCACCTCCACCTGTGACCCCTCCCCCTTCCACCTGTGGCCCCCAGCCCAGGCCCCGGCCTTTCCAGACCCCGGTCACACCTGTCCAGGCTCACATGGGCGTGTGGGCTCCTCTGAGGTCCCCTCCTGCCACCAGAGGGCAGAGAAGCATTGTGGAAGGACGCTCTGGGCAGCTGAGGTCCTCTTGGCTGGGCTCCCTCACCCTCCAGCTGGGGAGACCCCTTTTCTGTCTCTTGCCTCAAACAAAGACATGGGAAAAGTTGCCTGAGACTCCAAGGTCCCCCAGGATATGTGGACAGAGGGAAAGTCACTACACCTTTTTTTTTTTAGTATGTGTATACAAAAGTGAAGGATCCCAAGCAGGGTGTGGTGGTACACACCTATAATTCCAGCATTCTGGAGGCTGAGCCAGAAGGACCATCACAAGTTTGAGGCCATCCTGGGCTACATAGTGAGACTCTGTCCCAAGAAGCCGAGAGAGAGAGAGAGAGACAGAGACAGAGTGATTCACAGTGCAGGGCTCCCTGATATTTCACATCCTGAACACCCCTTGTCACCAGCACCCAGAGAAACCGCCACACAGGAAAGATGGAACTTGGGACACTCAGACCCTCCCTCACACGACCCTCACACGCCTACAGCAGCCTGCGTGAGCAGCTCAGCTGTCCCTTTCTCGCAGATTGGGAAAGCAGTGCTCCTCACCTGTCTTCCTCCTGTCTGTCACCAGCCTGGCCACCCAGGGGACCCGATGAGACTAACATCCTGGAGATGAGCATGTGGGGACCTGGCAGAATTTGGGAACTGCTACTCTACCACCAATGCCCAGGGAAGGGAGGTGACAGCCAAGGACAGCTACTGTTGCCCCATCTCTGTGTCCCTGAGTGCCTGGAGTCCAGCATTTCTCAAGAGACAGAAATCAGGGCCAGGGATTTAGCTCAATGGTGCCACCGCCTGCCTTGCAACTGGAAGGTCCCTAGTTTGATCCCCAGAACCTAAATAAATAAATAGACAGAAATCAGAGCCCTAGGGAGGAGGGGTGAGGGCAGGTACACCGGTGCCTGGGCAGGGTGCTGATGTGTGTTGAATGCACACCATGAACCCAATACTTAGCTTGGTCTCAGGGTAATTTCACCTTGGACACATGCATCCAAAGCATCCTGTGGTGCACCTCACACATATACAACGTCTGTCAGTTATACCTCAGGAATGCTGGGAAAATAAAATATGACCCATGCAAAAGCATGTACAGGGTTGACTGCTTCACACGAGTACTCAGTAAAGCTGGCATGTGGTGCACACCTGTAAGCCCAGCTACTCGGGAGGCTGAGGCAGAAGGATTGAAAATTCAATGCCAGCCTGGGCAACTTAGCAAGACTCTGCCTCAAAATAAAAAGGGCTAGGGATATGGCTCTGTGGTAGACAGCCCCTGGTTTAATCCTCAGGACCAAGGGGGAAAAAAGTGCTGAGAAAAAAAAATTTAAATAATGATAATTATTATCGTGCTTGAGTAGAGAAATAGTTCCTTCATGAGTCTGTCTTAAGGGTACTTTTCTAAGGTGCAGAGCCAGGCTCAAGAAGACAGATGTGGTGTAAGCCCACTTGCCGAGGTCCTTGGCATGGTCCAATTTGTGGACAGAGGCTGGGACAGAGGCCACCAGGGTGGGGAGTTAATGGGCAGAGGGTTTCTGTTTCACATGATGCAGAGTTCAGGAGACTTCTTGTCCCACCTGAGGGTCTACCTAACGCTGCTGAACCCTTAAAACAGTAAAGATGATTGAATTTGTATGCTTTTTTTCTTACTAGCACAATTAAATTGTATTTTTATTTTACTATTTTATTTTATTTTACTGTTTTTTTGGAACAAGAACTTGCTATGTATTCCAGGCTGGCCCTGAACTCACTATGTGGCCCAGGCTGGCCTCAAACTCACGGTGATCCTCTTGCCTCAGCTTCCCAAGTGCTGGGATTACAGGCATGCACCAGCACACCTGGGTGCATTTTTATTTATTTATTTATTTTTTGGTACCAGGGATCAAACTCAAGACCTTGTGCTTTCAAGGCAGGCTCGGCACCATTGAACTAAATTCCCAGCCCAGGTTGCAGTTTTAAAATAGAGAGGAAGAAAGTTCATTTGTCTGGAAGACAAACATGGGCAGGGGAGGGGCAGATGGGTATGGCACGAGGCCTCAGCTACCAGTACTGCTGTGTGTGAGATGGGGCCCCAGGTGGGAAGTGCCCATGACTCTGGGACCCAGATGTCACCACTTACCCAGAGAAGGTCCCAGCAGAAGCCTGCTTAGGACCTGGGAAAGCTGAGAGCAAGCCTGGCCACTCAATCTCCCCCAGAAGGCAGAGGGCACAGGCCAGGGGCAGGGTGTGTACCCTTCATGGGGCTTCATGGAGTGAGTGCCTACCAGATGCTGGACATGGCACACAGGGCAGGATAGCTCCCAGAGTCCTCGGCGCTAACCTCCTGAGCATGTGGCTTGGCTAAGCCCACACCCTACACAGTAGGGGCTGGTGATGAGCCCCATTTCACAGCAGAAAGTTAAGCAAAACTGGCTCCATGCCGGGCATGGTAGCACACACTTTTAATCCTAGCAGTTCCAGAGGCTGAAGCAGGAGGATCAAAAGTTCAAGCCCTTAGGCCAAGGATTTAGCTCAGTGGTTCCGCTGCCTGCCTCGACAGCACAAGGTCCCGAGTTTGATCCCTGGTACCCACCCCCAAAAAAGTTCAAGCCCAACCTGAAAAACTTAGCAAAACCCTGTTTCAAAATAAAATAAAATAAAAATTTAAAAAGCCCAAGTGGGAAAGCATTGGGTTCAATCCACAGTACTGAAAAAACGAAAATAAACACAAAAAATACAGCCTAGCTCCCTAATCACAGAACCACACTGACACTCCAAAGACACCCCGACAGGCACATACTGGAAGGGCAAAATGGAGATGACTGGAGTGATCTCCAAGTGGCTGGGAGTGTTGGGGTGAGCCACCCATGGCCCAGCATCCCCTGCGCCCCTCCAGGTGGCCTCGGCATCACCCTTTGGCTTCTGGCACAAGGGGCCACATTTCAGGTGTCTATGACACTAAGTCCTGTACTGGGCGCTCCCTGATGTCCAATGGGAACATGCTACCTGGGCAGATGTGAGAGCTACTAATCCCTAGTGACGTCCTCCACCCCGAACACTGGGCCACACACTTCCTGGGGACAAGGGGCTCTAGGACAGGGCCCTCCGTGTGCCCCAGCAGGGCCAGGCACTCTGAGGCCTTGGGCCCAGCCTGGGATTTGGGCAGAGGTGACAGCTGTGCTGCCTTCCTGCGAGGAAGAAGAGGCTCACAAGTGGGCACACATGGAGACACATTCCTGAGGCGAGATCCACATGCATGTGTGGGCACACACACCCCCACTGTGTGAACTGGGAAGAAAGTGGGTCTCATCAGTTCCAAGTTCTGGCTTCCCTGCACCCACCACTTCAGTTCTGGGCCGAGGCCCTGGGCCAGGGCGGAGGTGGGCCTTGGTCCCGGACCAGTCAGGAAACAGCTCCGGACCCTTCTTCAGGGCCTGGATGGAAGAGCAGACACTAGGGAGTTGTTTTTTAAACAAAACAAATATTTTATTGACACCCCCCCATGTTCTGTATAAATATAAAGTGCTAAGTTTCCAACCCTCACCCACAGGGCTGGGAGGAAGTGGGGGAGGAGTGTTAAATGTCAGTTAGGCACAAATAACTCCAGCGCCAACACAGGCAAGAAACGCTTGCGCACAGACACACGCAAGCAAAAGGTCCTTTATGTGACATAATATGCGTCACTTCCAAATTCTTGGCTCCTCCAGGAGCATAGGGCCTGGGCTCCAGGACCGCCCCCAAAACGGGCTCCTGGTTGTCACAGCTTGTTCCTTGGGGCTCTCTGGCTTCAACATGGCACTGGGGCCAGAGTCTGGTGTGTAGAGTCCAGTTAATTTCTGCCAAGGTGGGGCAGGAGAGAGCAGACTCTGTCCTTGACCCTGAATAAGGGCCAGCCCTTAAGTCCTCAGCAGAAGAGCACCAGGTCACAAAGGCCAGCATCCCTGCATTTCTCAGTTGGGGCTTTTCAGATTCAGAGGAGGTAGCATCCCCTCACCACATGAAGGATGCACTCGGCCACAGAGGACCCCACATGTCCACCTTTGGGCCCCTCAGACATCAGGGGGCCCTGGCAGCAGGCAGACGGCCCTGCCTCAATGACACAGCACCTGTGTCTCAAACTGTAGCAGCTGCCCCATGAAGCTAAAGTTGGGGGAGATGACACCCCGGCGCTGCTTTACAAAGTCAAAGGCCTCGTCCAGCCTCACGCGGCGGCTCTGGATCAGGTATGCCAGGCAAATGGTGGCAGAGCGCGAGATGCCTGCTTGGCAGTGTACCAGCACCCGGCCACCGCTGTTCTTCACCGAGTCTGCAAGAGAGACAAGGTGGGAGTCAGCGGGGAGGGGCACTGGCCAGGAGACAGTGCCCCCAGCTCCCCCGCACCACAGTCCCCAGGTCCTAGACTGAGTCCCCCTTACCAATGAAGCCTATGGCCTCCTGAAACCACACACTGATCTCCGCCATCTGGTTGTCCTCCACCGGGATGCTCTTGTAGCGCAGCAAGCCCTCAAAGTGGTTGGGGCAGCTGGCAGACACATTGAGGACTGCTGTGATGCCGCAGGCCCGAAGGCCCTGCAGGTCTGACGAGTGACTGCAGCTGCCCAGGTAGAGGAATGGCAGGATCTCCACGGGGCCACCCTGGAGGACAACAGAGCAATGGTGAGACCCTTTCAGCCCTGGCCTGGAGGGCTGAGCACCAACCAGGGGACACATCGTGGCTGGCCCAGGACCAGAGGAGCCCTTGGCCAGCACACCTGACCAAGGGCAGGACTCTGAGGCTGAGGACACCAGAGGACACGCAGACATATTCTGGGGACACGCAGGCACTCTTCATGTCCCAAAGAATACATTAGGACAGATGCAGACTCACAGAGCCCCTTTACACACACACACACACAGGTGAAAGTGTACATTAGCGTCCTCCTTCTTTCCCTAGAAGCGCCTATCTAGCATGGGGACAAGGAAGGAGACAGTGACTAGGAACCCTGATCTCAACTCACCTGGTCATAGATGGGAACCCCGAGGTCGGAGCTGCTGTTTTCGGCCCCTGCAGGGGGCAGCATCGGGGCGGGACCCTCGGAGCACAGATCGGGACAGCAAGCCTGGAAGCCATCGAAGCCTCCTGCAGGGGGCGAGGGCACAGTTAGCGGAGAGGGTTCGACCAGGCCTGGGGTGGGGGGTTCACGGGCGGCGCAAAAGGCAGGGGCGCTCACCTCGCAGGAAGCACACGGCGGTGGCGCCCGTGCGAGTCTCGTACAGCAGCGCGGCGAGCAGCACGTGCGCCGGGCCGTCGGGCCGCAACTCGGCCACCGAGGCCCCGCCCTCGTCCAGCACAACGGCGCGCGCCAGCTCTCCGCGGGCCAGGCGCGCCCGCAGCAAGCGGTCGGGCAGCAGGCAGGCGAGGGCAGCGGCTGGGGGCCCGCGCGCTCGGCGCCGCAGCAGCGCGTTCCAGGGCACCGGCCGCGCGCCGCGCACGTGCCGCCGGCAGAAGGCCAGGAACGGGCGGCAGTCAAGCAGCAGTGTGCTCTCTGCCTCGCGTGGCTCCCGCAGCAGCGCGCCCAGCGCCGCGCTCTCCAGCTCGCACGCCGTCTCCAGCCCCATGGCGAACGCGCTCCCCAAGCCTCCGCTTCTCCTCCCTCTCACTGTAATGCCGGGCTCTTCGTGTCCCGCGTCCGGAGCCACTTGTCTTCTCTGGGCGCCCTCAGTGGCGCCTGGGCTTAAGTACTCGCTGGCCGGCCTCCCGGGGCACCATACAAGGGCACAGCAGGAAGGCGTTGCACCGCCCCCGCGCTCACGTGGCGCGGGCGGCCGGGCAAGGAAGCAGGGAACAGCTCCGAGGGAAGGGGCTTGTGAGGTGTGGGCGCCCCTCCCCGACCTTTGCACCCCAGCCAGCAAGAGCGCTCCTGGCTGCCTTGTGCTTGGAAACCGGAATTCCCAGCCGCACACCCACACCACGGAACTCAGGACTAGTGGGGTCCCCTGCCCGCTCTCCCAATTCCCTTCCTCAAGTTTTCCTCCTAGGAGTTTGTTACAACAGAAATGCCTAGTGAGATGGGGCATGCCTATAATCCCAGCTCTCGGGAGGTTGAGGCAGGAGGATCGCTGGGAGTTTGAAACCAACCTGAGCTACAGAGTGAGACCCTGTCTCACCCCCAACCCCCACCAAGAAAAAAACTGACAGATGCCTGTTGCCGCAGATGATTCTCCAAGGACGATAGAGCGCCCCCAGTGAGAGTCCCTTTTCTCATCTAATTACAGATCCCTAGCCAGGAAACACCCCCCCACACACCTGGATGAAACCATCATTCTGGGGTTTACCACAGATTGGTGGCCACGTGAAGCCAGACCCTAGTCCCCTGGATCCAACCAAGCCCCTGCTCTTTGGCCTAGAGGGGGCGAGGAGGGTCTAGGGCTCTTGGGGGGGGGGGGGCAGCAGCCTGTGACGAGTTTCCAGTTGAGAGCGAGCAAAGCTTCTTCCCCTGGGGCCCTGGGAAACCCCGCGTGCCACTGTGAAGGGGAACTCTGCTAACACGCTGCCGCCGGCCTCTCCCCGGGCCTCACCAGCGGGAATTTCAGGGGGAAGAAGGGTCGCCGCCAGCAGAGCCGCCTCCTGCCGCCCAGTGCAGCAGAGAGCGCCCCCCAGCCCAGACCCCCGCTTGAGCAGTTTGACTACGACGACCCGGGCGATCCACTTCCGTGCCTCGCCCGCGCCCGAGTCCAGGTGCGGATGTGGCCGGGCCCAGGTGTGGGTGGGGGGTCGGGCCCCCCCGGGTAGGGCCAAGATATGTTCGTGGGTGGCTAAACTCCGAAGCGGGTCCAGGTGGGTGGGGACAGTGCACTGAGCTGGAGGCCCCAGCTGCGTGGGATCTCAGAACTCAGCCCCCTCCCTGTTCTGAAGCATGCATCTGGGCCTTTTCTAAGACCCTCTCGGCTGCCTGTGGACCCCTAGTCCTTCCGCTCCACCTGTGTGGACCCCCGTCCCACAGAGTTCCTCCCAGTGGCCGTATGAGTGCCTGGGAGCAGGTGGGCTCAGTTCCTCTCTTATGCAGAGCTTGGAGCTTGTGCTGGGGGGACAGGGAATGCCGGGGAAAGAGGCCCCCAAGACGTTGTTGCCCTCTTGTGCCTCAGTGTCCCCATCTGTTCACCCCCACTGGTTCCAGGGCTATGTAGCCCCTGCTGCGGGAGGCCCGGCCCTCCCAGCCAGGCCAGTCTGGAGGCTGAGGCAGCAGAGCCCACACAGAGCCACGGAGTCTGGGCCGCAGATCCCAGAGGCTGATAGGACCTTATCCTTGGCATCAGAAGAGGAATGGTTTAATGGCTGATTCTGGGGCAAATTACAGAGCACCCAGGAGGATTGTCAGCCAGGCTGTCTTGCTGACCCGCAGGGCCAGGGTCACCTGCCATGCAGGCGGGGAACACAGCCTTCCAGCTCCCTGGGGCAGGACTGGAATCAGCCTTATTGGAGACTCCAGACCCCCATGCTGGGTGGAGCCTCTTGGCCTCCCAGAGAAAGGTGTGTCTCTTGTGGGGTGCAGGTCCTGTCTCTTGAGGAGTGCAGGTGTATTGCTGAAGGTTTGCTCTGATGCCCAGTCTTGGAGGCCCTGCCCAGCACTGCATCCATGTCACCTGTCAGTGTCTGCTCTTCAGCTCCAGAACACCAGCTCAGGGAGACCTGACTTGGCCAAAAAGGAGGGGCATTCCTCTGCCTTCCTCCCCTATTCCCAAATCGGGAGCTCCCCTGCACTCCCAATACCTGGAAGAAGCCCAAGGCTGGGCCAGGAGAGCTCATGCCACTCCCCCACTCCTGTTCTAAGGATCTCCCACCCTTGGGTGCTGCTCCCAGTGAGTTGGTGCAGGATGCCTGCTCCCCCAACACCTCTCAGGACCCCTGTTCACCAGAGCGGAGCCTTGGGAGCTGGCAGGGCGGAATCCGACTGTGGGCACATGGGGAGGACAATGTGAGGGTCCCTGTGCCCCGGGGTGCCCCGAGGTTCTGGAGAGAGGACCCCACTCTTCACCCCTGAGTGGGGAAAGGACATCACACGGGGCCACACTAGAGCTTTCTCTGGTTTTGTTTTGGGCTTTTCCAGTTACAGAGCAGTCAGTCACTCTGTCAAGTGAGTTTGGGGTTCAGCTTTTTTTTTTTTAAATTAAAAACCTGTGAGCTGCGCAAGCACAAGGACCCAAGTTCAATCCCCGGTACCAAAAAAAAAAAACAAAAACCTGTGAGACTCAAGTGGAGCAAATGATGATTCTCTGTGTTGTTCTTTTTTGTAAATATTTTGATGGCTGTGGGAGTGTCATTTGCCTCCTGCCTGTGGGGTTCCTGGTAGGTCCACCCAGCCCCCATGCAAAGTGGGTTTCCCTTCCACAATCTCAGCAGTCTCATTGCTCTTCCTCCTCCTTCCAAACCCGCACCCCAGGCAAATGCCTGGGAGGCAGCAGACCTTGTCACTTCTGCAGAGCAGTCATGGAGGTGAGAGGGGCGGCCACCCCCAGCCTGCATGAGGAGTGAGTCACTGTGATGTCAGGTTTCCCGGGCCCCGCCCCTGCCACCCCCACAGGCTCCTGCCAGGCGAGGACCTAGACATTCAGAATTCAGTGACAGTCCTGCCCTGCACGGTGGGGTGGGAGTATGGGCACCCAGCTTCCTCCCTGGGCAGGTGAAGCAGGAAGCCCCGAAGGCTGGCTCAGACTGGCCCCTCACACAGTGGAAGGGTTGGTGTCTGCTCCCTCATGCATGTGTCACTCGTGTGTCCTTGAGCAGGAACACACAGGGTAGCCCTGCCAGGGAAGCTCCCCTGGACCCAGTGGGATGGTCTCCTTGAGGGGTCTGTCCACCACAGTCAACAGGTCCTGACCCTGGTCCGGCCGTGTGTCACTGAATTTTGGGTCCCCTTCTGTGTCCCCGTCCAGCAGGAGGCCAGGTGGTGCCTGGGATGCAGAAGAGGCTCTGAAGAATTCCAAATCCCATGGGAGGAAGTCCCACCATTTTCAGATCTCTCTCCCTCCATCCTGTATAACATCACTAAGGCTTCACTTGATGCTGCCATGGTTTAATGCCTTGCTAATGTTCACCTTTCTTCCTTTTGACAGAGGCTTATCCGCTTCCCCAAACATCCATATCCAAGTCACTCATACCCCTTTGCTCTTATGCCTTGACTCAGACCTGTTTCCAAAAATGTATTCCGAGCACTTACTATGCACCAGTTACTATTCAGAGTGCTGGGGATCCTGCAACAAACCCACCACTGCCCTCTGGGAGCTGACCTCATTGTTTCAGTAACATGATTGAGATTATGTTGAGTTCAATGGCAAGTGGCCCTAGTTACCCACCTAGAGTAATGATTACCTTTTCTTTTTAAAGGTAAAGACTGAGCAGACTTATGGAAGACCATTAGGAAAACGGTGGCACAGACAGTCCCCGAACTGCTTACAAATCATGACCAAGGTGGGGGGTGTCAGTCAGGATACCTTGATGGAGACCCCTTGGGTCCTTCCAGCTTCAGTGTGGTGCTGTTCCATGGGGTCCCCCTCTCCCTCCTGCCATGGTCTCTCATAAAGAGAGGAGAGGAGGTGCCAAGCAAGGAGGAAGGCACAGCCCTGAGGAAAGGACTCTGGAGAGCCCATCCCAAGGCCAAGTTCACAGCCCTCTTGAGTGGCCTGGGGTCCCTCCTGCTCCATAGACACATGTCAATCAAAGGCACTGGGCTTGGTCACACCCCCAGATGTGCCTGCAGATGGGGTCAGAGGAGGCACCTCTCCTGGGGACCCACTCTAACACACCTCTGTCCCCCCATGGCAGTGCCGGCAGTGACCCAGGCCCCGTTGCTGTGTACCTATGTCTGGGATACAGGCAGCTAAAGAGAGAAGAGGAGGTTGCTCAGGAAGAGCCATTGCCATGGCAATACTCAAGCAACAGGTAAGGGATTCTCAGAAATATGACCACACTGTGGTCCCAGGGTGAGTGTCTCTGTGACAAGAGAACTCCCAGGGCTCCCCCGTGACCAAGGCCAGATGCACTGTGGCAAGTGGCAAAGGGACTTTGAGGCCCAGAGGATCCAGAGACGGCTCCTTCCTTTTCACTTCCACTGACTGCTTTTCCACATCAGAGACCAGGCTGGGCCCTCTGGCTCTCTGGAGACCGGGACGCCAGCAGCAGTGGCGTGGCAGTGTTGGTGGCAGCCATTGCGTTGGCCAAAGCAGTCCAAGTATGGCCAGGAGAGCCCATGGCAAGGTGCACAGTGAACATGGTGTATGGGGGCCAAGGGCGCGCTTGCCACCCCAGCCTTTCCCTTCCCAGGTCATCACCGAGCAGCAGGCTCTGTTCTGGGTGCTGGAGTTGCAAGTGCGAACAAGACATCCAACCGACAAGGCCCCGCCCTCTTGGATGACCTCACAATGGCCGCAGAGACCAGACAGTAAATAAATAAATGAGGTCATGGCCAAGAGTGGCATCCTAGAGGGGAATGAAAGAGCAGGAGGGGGACACGGGGAGGCCTCAGACTTCAGTTGAAACTTACGCGGGACAGGCTGGCTGGGCAGGAGCAGATGAGAGAAGTCCAAGGCATGGAGGCCAGGACAAAGGCCTGGGCAGGAGCATCTAGCTAGCTGCAGTGCTTGGGTTGGTGCTGAGAAAGTCCCCTTCCATGGGAAGCACAATGGGACTCCTCAAAGGGGCTGATTGGCAGGGGTGGACA